CATAGGACCCTATCTTTCTAAACTTTGTTCAAGCTTTCTCTAATCTGGGATATGAGCCTTTACCACCAAAGAACTCCTTGTTGTGGCCAAGAACTCAGGCACTACCTTCTGTATGGGTCTGACCCACCATCCTGATGACTGCAACAGCCCCCACCATGTTGCCCAGTCAGCAGGAAGCAGATTGAGAGAGTCATCATCCCTTAATAACAAAAAGACAGGAATGATGGTTTTCTGCCCATGTGGAACTCTGCCAGGGCCATCATGGTGGCAATCGAACAGGGCACTGGATCAAAAAAATGACAATGAGTTCCTTCAAACCTAACTTCTGTGTTCTTCCTTGAGTCCCAAAATAAACTTCCTGTTTCCTTTTTGTGCACACCCCAACAACCCTCCAACCCTCTCCTCATACAATATATTGCCTGCCCATGTTAACTCCACCCCTAGGCTAACCTAATAAAATCCCGATCCCCAGCTCCCTCCTCCAAGGGTCCTTGCAATTTCCGGCAGCCCTCCCTGCTGGCAATAAAGGCTTCTTTTCCTCTGTTGATGTCTCTTTTTTTTTTGTTTGTTTTTTTGTTTTTTTTCCTCCGGTACCGGGAACCGAACTCACGACCTTGCGCTTGCCAGGCAGGCGCTTTTTGCCGCTGAGCTAAATCCCCAGCCCCTGTTGATGTCTCTTTACAGCGCCAAAAACTTTACCACAAGATCCCTAATTTTTGAGTTTGTACTGCTCTGGGGGAAACATCTACATATTCCCATCTGAGACCCTCTGGTTATTTCAAGTAACTGCCTCAGCAACCACCTGCCTCATAAGATAATCCTGGCTCATGGGAGTGACTATGATACAAATTTAGGAGTTCCGTGTTATGGGGAATGTGAGTGTGATGAAAAGGAAGCAGAGGGCACCATTCTCTAGAATTGGGGTTCACGGAATCTATCCTCTGACACCAAGGGCGTGACCAATTAATATGTGATTTTCAGAACCTAGGGTGGCAAACAGTTCTTTTTCTGCTGTCTTCCTTGTAGCACAAAACTTTGTAATTCAGTTATCCTCTGCTATTCCACTGTGGCTCCTGCTTTTTCCCCACCCTCAGCATGTGCAGCCTGAAAAGCTCTGGAGAGAAAGTACGCCAGGCACTGCAGAAATTCTGTGCTTTTTAGGTAAGAAACTCAGCTGAGAGGATTTCATTTGTTTCAGCTGGAACTCATTCTTGTTCAATATCTGGTTGATACAACTGAAAGAACTGAGGTGGCAGAGAAGAAACACCTGCTAAACAATGTCCTGCCTGTAGGGTGCGTAATTTAAGAAGACATGAAGAGCAGCTCTGCTTGGCACAAGCCATAATCATCCATCCTTGCCTGCTCCTCTAAGCACTTTGGTTTTGAGGAATCCTTTCTTCCTCTTTTTAATTATTATTTTTGTGGTGCTGGGGATCAAGCCCAAGACCTTGGAAGGGTAGCACTGTGACTGATGTATAGTCCTAGCACAGCTGAGAAGAACTGCCCACCTATAACCACAACACAGTCCTGGCCTAACCCTGGTGGACACTTCTACTTAAAGGACAGGAGAGATGAAAGCTCTTGGCCACCAATTTGTCCAGTGGTGGTTATAACTATGGGGTGTCTAGGGCCCTCCTCCTAAGTAGACATTCCCAAGAAGCAGTACAGAGGCATAACACAACTTCTAACACTACATAAACGTGGGTCCTCTATCTGCATTTTGTCAGATCATGTGTTGCTGACAAGACTGTATGTATCACAGAGGGAGAGCCATCACTGTGCCTTCATCTTTCCCCATGAAGCACCTAGATCTGTACCAATGTCTAATCAGAGGACAAGAGCTTCAAGTCATTCATTACAATTAATGCAACAAATATCCTGATTTTTTTTTTGACAGATGATCTTGCTGTGAGGTCTATGCTGGCCTTGAACTTGTGGTATCTTTCTGCCTGTTTCTGAATCTTGGGCTTACAGACATGCATCACAATGCTTGGCACAACTGCTTTCAAGTAACCACCAATATCAGTAGCATGTGTGGGAACCATCAGCCACGGGGGATACCATTCTCACTGTAGGAGCAACCACAGGTGGTACACCCCACATCCATACTCTGCTGTCTGCACCATACCTGCCTGTAATACCTGAGGGTCACCACTCTTGTAAGAACTGCAAAGCCAGTGGGTATTTCTGACTCTGCTGTGGTATGCTGCATCCCTAGATCCGTTCATCACAGCTGAAAAAGTTACAGGGTGAATACACTATGGTGCCCAGCTATAAATAAACTCAACACAGCAAAACAAACTGATACCCAAAGATACATCATCAGGCTAAGAAGGCCCCCATATAAAAGCAGAAGAGAGCCGGGCATGGTAGTGCATACCAATAATTCCGGCACTGGGGTGGCTGCGGCAGGATTACTACTGTGAATTCAAGGCCAGGCTGGGCTCCATAGTGACTTCAAGGCCAACCTCAACTAGATAGAGACCTTGTCTCCAAACATCAGAAAACAAAACAAAAAACCCAAAAACTCCCCTAAAACCCAACTAAATAAACAACAAAAAAGGACAACAAAACACACATAGACACACACACACAGAGACAGAAGAGATAACCATCCCAACAGATGTACAAATTCAACATACAAACATAAGAAGTAAGCTAGGCAGGGTGGTGCATGCCTGTAATTCCAGCACTTTGGGAGGCTGAAGCAGGAGGGTCACAAGTTTCAGACTACCCTGACAAACTTATTGACTTATCAAGACTCAAAAAAAGTGCTGGGGATATAGTGCAGTGCAAAGGCCGTGGATTCAATCCTCAGTACCAGAACAAAACAAAACAAACATCAAAAAACCAAACACAAGAAATATTTTTTTAAAAGGTAATTAAGACAACTCCTGAAGTTTTTAATTTTTCAACTCTGAAGACAGCAAAATAGATGGAATGGCTGATAAAGGAATGATTTTTAAGAGCTTGATGAAATTCAAGAGAATAGAGATAGATGGCAAAATAAAATGAGGAACAAAAGAAGGATATAAATGAGAAACTCAGCAAAGAAACTGAAATACAACCAGACAGATATCTTGGAAATAAAGAGCTCAAGAAGTCAGATAAAAAAAATTTCAACTGAAAGTCTTAACAGTGGTCTTGGTCAAGCAGAAGAAATAATACTTGAGCTTGAAGACAGGTCTGCTGAAATATCATTTAGACAGAAGTAAGGAAAAAGAGAACATTGAAGATCTCTGGAACATCATTAAAGGGTCAAACGTCAACGTAATCAGCATACCTACAGGAGAAGAAATAAGGGTCAAGGGCATAGAAAACCTATTCAATGAAATCACAATAGAAAAATTCCCAGATCTTAGGAAATACATGGGTAGCTAGGTAAAAGAGATCTTTACAACCTCAAATAGCCACGACCAGAAAAGCATCTCTCTATGGCATATTAAACTCTCAAAAGTACAGGTCAAAGAATATTAAAATCTACAAGACACATTAAAGGCAAAATCATTAAATTACCAGCAGATTTCTCAGCATAAACCCTAAAGGTCAAGAAGACATAAAATAATGTATTTCAAGTCCTAAAACAAAGTAACTACAAACCAATTCTTTACAATTTAAGGAGAAATAAAGACTTTCCAAGATAGGGATTAACTAAGGGAATTCACAAACACAAGACCAGCCTTACACAAAAGACATTTAAGGGCTTGGCATTGTGGTGCATGTTTGTAATCCCAGCACATGAAGCCTGATGTAGGAAGAATGGTGGGAGTTCGAGGTTATCTAGGGCTTTATAGTGAGTTCAGACATCCTGAACTAGTATGAGATCCTGTTTCAAAACACAAACACATACTAAAAAAAGATGCTTAAAGAAATTCTATGTGTAGAGTAGAAAAAAAGATAACCATCATCATGAGAGCACATGAAAAAAATAAATCCCACTAAAGGAGTAGATATACATAGGAGAAATAGGAATGAATCAAACACTGTCAATATAGTAAATAAACTAGAAAGATGAATAAGAGCAGAAAACAAAAATATTCAAAACAACCAGGAGGAAATCAACAAAATGAGAAGAACTAGCCCATACCTTACAATCATAACTCTAAACACAAATGATCTTAATTCTCCAATTAAAAAACAGACTGGCTGAATGGATTTAAAAACAAGACTCAACAATATCCTGCCCACAAGAAACTCAGGTCAGTTCTGAAGGCAGACTGGAATCGCTTCTCAGCCTTTTGGCTAAGATTAAGTATAAAGACAGACTGGAAGTAAAAACATGGAAAATGATTTTCTAAGCTAATGTAAAATGAAAGCAAGCTAATGTAAAATGAAAGAACAGCTATACTTATATTCACCAACACAGACTTTGAAGAAGAGACAGTGGTCACTATATTACGATCAAAAGATGAACTGATCAAGAAGATATGATTATTAATGTATACATCAAATATTGGAGGATCCAATTTTATAAATCAAAAACTATTAGACTTAAAGAGATACACCCCAATACTATAATAGCAGGAGACTATAATGCCTTACTCCAAACAAGATAGATCATCCAGACCTCCCACTCTGCAAATCAATAAAGAAACATTAGAATTAAAGTACATTACAGATCAAATAGACTTAACAACACTTTTTGAAAGTAGGAGGAGGATCACTAGGGATTAGGAAGAGGATTTAACTGGGGGATAGGGTGGAAGAATGGTGGATGGATATGATAAATGCACTATGTATGTATGTACATAGGTATGTATCACAATGAATCCCATTAATTTGTATAATTAACATGTTACTAATTATAATTTTTAAAAGTTCTCTATTTTTTTCTGCACTAACACATCTGAATATACCTATCAGTGATACTCAAAACTATGGCAATAATTCTAAGAGGGGGTAGCTGCATTAAAGAATTAACTACTTCCTATAAAAGGCTTTTGACAATCATCTGATTTTAGCTTTATAACAACACAGAAAGAGTATCAGTAAATCCCTACCTGTTCTGGCATAGCTCCATGTTCAATTCCAGTCTTCAATAATCTGTAGCAATTACCAAATAGATCCCATTTTGTGAGATCATGAGCACTAAAATAAACAAAAGATGCGTTAACTTCATTCTATAACGGAAAAAAACTTAAGCTCAATTTTATTAAGAAGAACAAAATATCGTTTTTTTTTTACAGAACTGAAAAAGATCCATCAAGAAAATGTTTAAGTGTGTATGGGTGGTGGTAGTGGGAGGCCAGAAATAGAAAAGAATAAAAAAAGAGCTTCATTACAAAAATCAACAGCAATAAAGTGTCATCTATCACGTGGTTAATTTAAGCTCATATTCTTTGCATGAATAACCTTTCTTTTTAATACATTTTAAACAAATCCATTCATAATTTTAACATATATAGCTATGTGTATTTCTTGACAAAGAGATTTGTGCTTATGAAGAAAATGAAGGCAAACTTAGGGGAAAGGAAATATGGGAAAGAAACCTGGAATGTGAGGCAAAAAGACTGTGGGTTTGAAGCCAGCCTGATTACATAGCTGACACCATGTCTCAAAAAAAAATGAAAAAGAAGAGTAGTATAGCTATTTATATGGAATAGCTATTTATATGGGCTGAAGACTTCCGAACAAAATTTTAAATTCTCAGAAACTCCGCTGAAAATGCTTCTTTTAATACTGGCTGCCACCTTTTATCTTTAGATGAGAAAGTATTTTTTAAAGAGTTTGTTTTTCTGTGGAATTTCAGAAATTTACTTGCGTATAAGTAAAATGCTTAGATTCATTCATTCATAGTTGCCTAGACTGATCTTGAACTCCTGGGCTCAAGTGATCCTCCTGCATCAGACTCCAGAGTAGCTGGCATTACAGGAATGTACTACCAGACAGGATAAAAGCTTTAAATTTCAGAAACTGCTTTTAAAATGTAAAGAATTAATTAAGCATCATAACCAAATTTTCTTTTGACAACAAAGTTCTGTTGTCCTTTCTTCATGCAACAGATAAGCATATCTCATTCCAAGGGATATACAAATTACATTTGAAAACACATAGTTCATTCATCTGAGTCTCTTTTCCTTACTCAAATCCAAAATGTTCAGTGTACATAGTAAGACCACAGTGATAAAAATAAAAAAAGAACAACTCAAAGTAAAAGCCCAAAGGATTGAGTTTTGTGGCTTTCCCTCATTTTCATTTATTTATTTACTTTCACAAAACATTTACATTATATACATTTTACCATGCACATGGAATATTGATTTCATTTAAAAAATCAACAAAAAGTTATCTATTACATGGTCAACTTAAGCTTATATTCTATACATAAGTAATCTTTTTTAAAATACATATTAAACAAATTCACTGCTGTTCTGAAATATGTGTATGTGGGGGAATGCCTATATGGAGCTAATTTGTTTTTTGTAGTGAGAACACTTAAAATCTAATTGCAGTAATTTTCTCTCTTTAGAATTAATTAATCAATTTATTTATTTATTTATTTATTTATTTTTGGTACTGGGAATCAAACTTAGGACCTTGTGCTTGCCAGGCAGATGCTGTGCCAATGAGCTATAACCCCAGCCCTTTTAAAATTAATTTTACTGGTACACATTAGATATACTAATAATTATATTCATCATAGGGAATTTGTACCTATATATATTTTGATTTTTCTTTTTCTCCCCATTCCCCTCCGTTCAACCCTACTTCCCTTCCTTATTTACAAAAGCTTTATTTCTGTTTTTCCTTCTATTCTCTTTTTTCCTACTCTCAGTAATTAACAAGAATGTAAGACAGTGTTAACTGCCATTATCATGCTGTACAGGAGATATCTTGAACTTATTCCTCTTTTCTAGTGGAAATTTTACATCCTCTGACCATCTTCAAATCCACACCAATATTTGGAAAGATTTTTAAAGCTATCAATTAAAAATTATACATATAAAAAGCTGGCAAATTAAGCTCATCTAATTTGTTACACTCAGTACATTAAATAATCATTAGATTAATAATGTACCTTAATTAAATAATAAAACATAATTCACCTGGAAAAACTTTCAGTAGTCTAGAAAAAAATAACACCTCAGTATTTCTGTAAAATTTTCCCGTGTTATATGAAGACTGAGCATTACAATCTGCTTGTGTATCTTGGTTAGTATAGACTAGTCACTAGATCGACTTTAAATAAAATGACATACTTGTGGAAAGAAGTTAACCGCTTTAAGGTGGAAAGAACATTGTAAATATCATCATCATCAGCTTCTTCACCCTATAAATAATAAATATCTCATTAACATAACTTAAATTCACATTAAAGTTTATTAATACTTAACTGAAAAATTCTTTATTATATAAGTAAGTACACATTCATGGTAGATAAATAAGAAAATCAAATATGAAAAAAATATACCATGATCCCAATATCTAGAAATTGGCAATTTATGCATTTAAACGTGATAAACATAACTTTGTTCACTTTTCTAATTAATACTATGAACACATTCTTTGACACTGCTGAGTGAAAGGGTATTTCAACGTTCTTTGGTCTTTTTATTGGTATGGTTGATATTTGAGCCCAGGACTTCACGTAGGTAAACATGCTAGCTCTGAGTTATATTCCTGTCTTGAAAGATTTTTAATCGTTACTTCAAATATTTTACTGAGTTGGGCATGGTGATACACACTTGTAATACTGGTACTCTAGAAGGCTGAGGCAGGAGGAACTCAAGTTTGAACTTTGCCTTGGCAACTTATTGCAATCCTGTCTCAAAATAAAAAATAAAAGGCCTAGGATGTTGCAGATGCTGGGTTCAATTTCCAGTATGTGGGGTGGGGTGGATTTTACTTTTTTTTAGTTATATCTGTAATTTGAAAATCTTAATGAAAAATCATAGTGTTTGAAAAATATGAGAAGTTCAAATAGTAGGAAAAAGTCTTTTAAAAATCAGTTACATGAATTAAAAGGAAAATTCTTATCAGCCCCGTTGTCAGTGCATGGAGAATTACAAATGTTAGATTGCCATACACATTGGGAAGACAGCAAGAAGTAGGTGAACCAGAAATAATTAGAAAAATAAATTGTTATAACAGCGCGTGCTTTCAAGGTGATTATGCATCCTTTGTAAGTACATTTAATTTGTATGTTCTATTCATCAGTATATCATACTATTTCAGGGACATTAAAATGCAAATTAGGTCCAAGAATAGGAAATGAAATGGGTTAAGGAAAAGCAGACCCCAAAGACTTTCCTTGAAAGAGGGAAAAATGGCAGGCATGGTGGTGCTTGCCTGTAATCCTAGCACTGAGGCTGAGGCAGGAGGGTCACTGTGAGTTTGAAGCCAGGCTGGGCTCCATAGTGAGTTCAAGGCCAGCCTGAACTACATAGTGAGACCCTGTCTCAAGAAAACAAAATACCCACCCTCCAATCTACTGATGGCTTCAACAAACAAATAAAACATATATTTAGAAAAGGAGGTAGGGAAACAAGGGAAACAAAAATAACCTCTCTTTTTTGGTACTGGGAATGAAACTCAGGACCTTGCGCTTGTCAGTCAGGTGCTGGGCCACTGAGCTGTATCCCCGGCCCCAAAAATAACCTATTAAGATTGATCACTATAGGATACAGGGGTGAAATAGTGCTTCTAGGTTCTGAAACAACTAAAGAGTTCTACTGGTTTATTTTGCAACAGAAGTAATTTATATACTCAGCTATCCTGAATAATTATTAGCCCAAACTATTACATAAACACATTAATTTTAGAACAGACCTCTTGCAACAGGTCTTCCACAGAATGATTGAATCGGTCTACAAACTCATCAATCAGCTGGCTCCGAGCTATGTCAACTCTATTCTGGATGGTATATTCTTCACTGCATAAGATGCTATAGGTTTTACTGCAGGCTTCCAGAACATCTGATTCTACGTGTTTCTCCACAACAAATTTAATCTGTTTTAACAAAGCGTCCAGATGCTGAGAAAAAGAAAAGAAAAACTATTATACTTAATGATGACAAAAATCAGCACCTGCCAAGTAACAAACAGACATATTAATACATGAAAGTAAAATAACGCAGTTAATAAAACTACTCAGGCAGCAGAATTTTAATGTCTTACCTTTTCCATTCTACCTGTGCTGTAGATTTCTAGATCAAAGTACTGTGGAATTTGTAGCAAGTTTGCTACCTTTTCCGCATCTGCAGAATACTAGAATGAGAAGCAGCGAAGAAAAAGCAGTAACTATTTTAACAGTAGACTGAAAGCAAACTCAGTGGTATATGATCACAAAATTGTAACTCAGACTGTACCTTTGATAGTAACATAGGAAGAGTTATAATAAAATGCTCGGTCAATTTGTTTCTATCATCTATTTGAGTTTTCCTTTCTTTGGCAGTTAGCACCTAGAAATAAAATGGTAAAAGAGTAAGTGTCAACGTGCTGGTTTATGAATCTAAAATGTTACACAAAATAATGAAGCAATGGTAGGTAACATAACCAAAAATTTTAAGAGAAACTTAAACTAATTAAATATATCCAGTTTTAAGCAAATTTATTTAACATACACCATTACTTTATTAAATAGCTAAAGTTTAGGTAAATTATCACTTGCTTAACTTAAATAAAAACATGAATATTTCTATAAAACGAATTTTATTTTATTACACGGCTGGGGATGGCACCCAGGGCTTTGTGTATGCTAGGCAATGGCTCTACCACTGAACTACATCCCCAGCCTAAAAGAAATTTTAAAATGCTGAAAAAATTAAGTTTTTGTTGAGTTTGAATGTCAATGTGTTTGCACTGATCTCTCCTATGTTAAATACACAGACATTTTCAACAAAAGTATGATTTTTTGGCATCACCAGAAGCTAATTATCATGTATTTTCAAAGTATATATGAATGATACTTCTAGATTCATTTCTGTTTGAGTCTCCTTATAACTAAGTTCATAAATCTGTTAGGCGGTAGTCTACAGAAAAGTGTATCCTGTGATCACAGCACAAATTTAAGTTGATAATGTTCATCCCTTTATTTTGTATTCAACTTGTTAAACCACAAGTGGTTTCGAAAATAAAATATTAAACTGCAAGCTCAGTCTAAGATAATTTCCTCAAAGTATTCTACATTTTGTTATTTTCCTGAAGAGATTTACCATCATAATGTTGAATGGTTTCATAAACAGAAATATTCCAACATAAAATGCCACTTTATAAATGTAAACCCCAAATGGGAAGAAGATGCTTTCTGATTATTTTATGTAATTCAGAGGTTGAACAACCACCTTGGAATGATTTACCAATTACTTTGTCTAGTTCTGTGCAAAGTAACTAAGGGAACAACACATGTAGTGCAATATATATTCAGGAATGGATTCAGAATATTAAGAAATCATAAAATTCATGTGACAATGTATAAGGAGTCTAAGGATATATTTGTTATTTTCTCATTATGTCAGGCTCTTTGCATACATGAACTTATCTACTCCTCCCAATACCTCTGATTAAATAGCAAAAATAGCAGGGAACAGGAATTTGACAATATCTAACAAAATTATATACACATATTTGCTATGATCTAGAAATTCCATTTCTGGCAATCTATCCTATCAACACAACTTGTACAAGTAAGACATGACCACACAGTATTTCTAGTAGCAAAAATGTAGCAATAATCTAAAACATTGTCAACAGGCAACTTTCAATACTGCATCCTTATAATACATATTGTATAGCCATAAGAAAATGAAGTTAACCAAATAAAGTTATGGAATTATATCCAAGATACACAGTTAAATAAAAAAGAGAAATGTACAGAACAGTATATAATGTACACTATCTTTTGTAAAAGATTGGCAGGCAGGAAAAATGAGGAATAAGAATACATGCATCTATATGAGTACAGGCATTAACATGTGTATATGCAAAATGAAATACCAGAAGGGTAAACCACAACACAAATAAAAATGTTTACTGGAATAAAGGGTAGAAAGAGGTATGTCTACAAGTAAGATATCTCTGAATACATAGTTTTCCTTGGTTTTTACTTCTTATAATGTTTACTTCAAAAAAGTAAAGCAGAAAAACCTTATAATTAGAGAGGTAAAAAGCCAAGCTAAATTTGAGTCAAAAATAATGAATGAGAGATAGATTCTCAAGTTGCCTAGCAGAAATTATATAACCTGTCAGTAATCAATATTCATACTGCTAAGATTTTGATCTTTACCTCTTTATTAAAAGGAACCATGGTTCAAGGGAGAAATGGTGGATTCCTGTGCTAGAGTAGTGTGGAACTCAGGCTTTAAGACAACTAATGGTTTCTAATTCCAGGTCCTCATGACCTCGTAGTCTTTCCCCTCCAAATAAGGCTGACTTGTATAGCCAACAGGATGTCACAGAAACTAAACTGTGTAATTTAAAACATATTATTCAAAAATTTTTTTATACTACTTAGGACTGAGCCTAGAGCCTTGCACTCACTAGGCAAGAGCACTTTAACTGAGATCCATTGCTAGTGTGATACTGTGATACTGTGTGGTTTTTGAGACTTGGTCATGAAAGACACAGCAGTGCCCACCTGACCACCTATACATTTGCTCTGGGAAAGGTCAGCAGCCATGTCGTGAGAAGACTCAAACAGTCCTATAGAGACTTTCCTGTGGATAAGGTCCAAAATCTCCTTCCAGTAGAATGAATTTGTCAGTCACACAAGTGAGTCATTATGTAAGTGGACTCTGCAATCCAAGTCAAACCTTCGGGTGCTACAAACAGGACTAGCATCTGGACTGTAACCCTAGCAGAGACCTTACAGCTAAGCCATTAGTGAATGTCTGACCCACAAAAACTGTATAAGATAATGAAGGCTTACAGTTTCAAAACTAAATTTTGGAATAGTTTGCTACAGAAAGTAAACCTGGGCATTTTGTTCTGAAAGAAAGTGAGAAAGTACTCAAAAATGATAGTATCTGTGAAAGGACTAGAAATTAGCCTGAAGGGACAATCACTGGTTAAGGTTGGGACACATTTTTATTATGGAAAATCTAAAAACATTCAAAGCATTGTAATAACCTTGCATTCTGTAAATCTTGTTTCAGCATGTCTCCTGAAGAGACTTTTATTCTGATAACATTTTAAGGCAAAACATTGTATGTAATTTCACCCTTAAATATTTAAGTGAATGTCCCTAACAGAAGAGGGCTTAAAAATAAAACATCATCTCCAACAAAATGAAAAATTCCTTAATGACATTTCCCATGCAATCCATAGTTTCCTCAAACACTGCCTTTTACAATCTGTTGAAATGCAGATCTAACTACATTTGGCTGGTATGTCCCTATGTCTTAAATTTTTAAAGTTTCTAATAGTTACTGCTTTTCCACATTCTGAATTTGGCTTTTTGCATCCCTGTAGTCTCATTTAACATATTCTTCTATCTTCATATTTTCTTGAAAACTGGTAGGTACTTCTAGAAGCTGGATTACACCAGACCCCTCCCTGACACCTCCCCCTCCCTGCCCAGGAACACTTTAATGGTGGTAGTCTCATTTTCAATAGTATTAAGTTTAACTAGTGGGTTCAGGTGATTTCAGACCATGTACACACTCTGAAGTTTCCCATCACCTTTTCACTAACTTTAGGCCACTGATGATGTTATCTAGATCCATTATTTGTGTGTCAAAACACTGATGTTTTTATTCTACCATTTCTCCATTGATTACTAGTGGCACTTGTACTCAAAAATTTGCCTTGCCAGTTATTTGGTTACCCAGAAATACTAGTATTACTAATACAGGAAAGGTAAATATTATATGTTTTTATGATATAATAGAATGTATATGGCCAGGGATATAGCTCAGTGGCACAAGCACCTGCATGGCAAGTGCAAGGTCCTGAGTTTGAGTCCTGGTACCAAAAAAAAAAAAAAAAAAAAAAAAAAAGAAAGTATAAATGTATCCTTTTGGCTGAAAACGGTGGCGGGTCCTTGTATTCCCAGTATTCCAAGAGGCAGAGACAGATTACAAATTTGAGTCTTGCCTGAGCAACTCAGGAAGACTGTCTCAAAACAGAGCTAAGAATGAATCTCAGTGTGAAGGCCCTGGTTTTAGTCTCAGTATTGGGAAAAAAAAAAAAAAAAAAGCAAATTAAACAAAAAAGAAAAGACTCCCACAAAAAACACACAAAACAAAAACTTGGGGTGTGTACGTGTGTGCACGCGTGCGAGAGAGAGACAGACAGACAGACAGACACCTTGAACTCATGATCCTCTTGCCTCAGCCTTTCAGGTAGGGGCATTATAAGTATGTGTTACCATGTTCAGCTAAAAATTATTTGCCAAAAATCTGTAACTTGATCTGAACTGACAAAGTCCTTAGAATTAACATTAGGTAGAAAATTTATCATCAAGAGAAAAATCACAAAGTGTTAAGTAACAGTAGGAGAAATCAGATGGAAAAACATGCTCCTAGAGTTGCTTTTAATTGAGAGAGGAATACTAAATCTCCATCTCTTAACTGTTGAACCATTTCTCCTTTCAAATTTCTCAGTTCCTATTTTATACATTTTGGGGCTCCGTATGTGTAGATATATACATACATACATATATTATATATATATAACTGTATATCTTCCCAATGTATTGACTCTATAGGGTATCCTTTTTGTTTCTAGTGACATTTTTATTTTAAGCCTGTATGTCTAATGATGATTTCTTCACATACTTACTCATTTTGTGACTTTCTGTCATCCCTTTTACTTTCAACATATTCATATGTTCAAATATGACCCAAGCTGATAGTCTTTTTTAATACTGAGGACTGAATGAACACAGTAGCATGCTAACACTGAGCTACATCTCCAGCCCTTTTTATTATTTAAAAAATTGAGACAGGGTTTTGGTAAGTTACCCAGGCTAACCGCAAACTTGAGATCTTTTTGCCACCAAGTACAGCTTCAAATCTCTGTATTTTTATTGAAACCCTTCCTCCCCCATGTTCTTTTGTGGTACTGTGGATTAAACCCAGGGCCCCTGTATGCTAAGGAAGGGTTCCTCCACTGTACTACATTCTCAGCCCTCAATATAATTTGTGATATTGATGAATGTATGTCACCCTGTCAGCCACTTACTATCTGTGATTTTTATGACTCATGTCTTTTTTTATTTCTCTTTTAGTTACTCTTTCACTTTTTGGAGCTGCATATTTTTTCTATACTACTATGATTTCTCTTGATAATGCTTTCTTTTCAGATATAGATGGTTGTTTTAGGGATCAGAACATGTATCTCTAATTTTAATTGACTTCAGGTTAATACTGAATTAACTGTAGCAAAATACAGTCATTTTACTTCAGTTCCGTATCTTTTTTCCTTCTTTTGCTAAAACAGTCACAATTATAATGAGTATATA